AATCACTGACAAGCCAGTGGTATAATACGTAATGACTGCCCACTTGGTACCCTGGGATTAATATCTGTTTAGCTGTTCATTTGTAAATTAATGAAATATAAAATCCTAAGGAAGTGATTGAGTAACACTCTCTGGAGGCTGAACTATCTACCAATTTTTTTTTGAAGGGCTTAGGATTCAAGAGCACTGAGGAAGAACAAAAGTTCCCCCACAATGACCAATGGCTTTCTGCTGTTCAGCCTCTTTACCTGTAAAGCACTAAGTTCCAAAAGAAGGTAAATCCTATGGTTCCATGATGTTTTCACCCTACATATATTACACATGCATGGCCACCAACCCCACAGCCAGTCAATCAATCAACATGCATTTATGAAGCACTTACTATATTCAAGGCACTCTGCTAAGTGCTGAGCATACAAAGAAGGGCAAAAAACATGGTTGCCGCCCTCAAGGAAGCTCACATTCTAGGAGTCAACATGCAATCACTTACAGAACTAGAGTTTCAAAGGCCATCCAGGCCTGACTATTCCTGGAAAAGAATCCTCCCTATGATGTGCCTGACCAGTGATCACCTAGCTATTGCTTGAAGACCTCCAGTGTGGACTTCAACAAACTGCCTCCTAAAGCGATTCACTCCATTTCTGGAAAGTCTTTATTGCTAGGAAGTTTTCCCTCACATTGCAGCGGGATTTTAAAGGATAAAAATTAAGAATTCAATAGGTAAAAAGGAGGTTCTTCTAGGCCAAGCAGGAATATAAGTGATGGCTCAGAGATTGCAAGGTACAATGGACAAATAATAACAATAATGATGGCGATGATGATAATAACAATTAACATACAGGATGTGACAGGCACTACGCTAAGTGATTTACAAATATTATCTTACTTGATCCTCATAACAGCCCTGGTAGATGAGGAAACCAAGGCAGAGATACATTTCATTTGGTGAGAGCACTGAGGGCCCATGCCATCCCATGCTACCTCTCCTGGAGTTCACTATGAGCCACTCCATCCAGGAGCAGTGGAGTGACCCCATCTTGTTCTTTGTAGGGTAAGCCTATGTTTGCTGTTCAGTTAGTCAGCAAGCAATTAAGCACCTCCTATGTGCCAGACTCTGTGTTAGATAGATCAGTTCACTTGCTGAATACTAGAATAAAAGGAGTTTAACATTAGCTTTAGCTTTAGGATTTAAAATTCATTCCTCTTAGGAGAAACTCAGATTAAATTTCTTACTGTCTATCCCATTCACATTGCTTGCTTTTGCTTGAATGCCTTTTTATCACCCATTCTAAAAAAACTTTGATCATGGTGGTTCCTGTACCTGACGTACTTTCCTCAACCTCTACCAGGACACCTTCTCTTACTACTCCAACTCACATTGATTTCTCTCTTCACTGAACTCATATAACTGAACACAGAGTCTCCATTTATTGTATCCAAGTCTCTGAAAATACTTCGGGACTGACAGAAATTAGATCCCAGGAGAGTAGAAGCTCTATTAAAAAATTAATGACTTTTAGTCTCAGGACTGTATTTGTTCAGAGTGTGTGGGATCATGGATTACTTGGGGTAATCCAAGTCCCACATACCCCTCAACTTCATGAAGTTCAGTTTTCTCACCTGTAAAATAATAAGGATGCAACAGATCATGCGGTCCTAACATTGTTTACATCATGTACCTCACTACCAGAATGGAGAAGCCTACACTTAGAATAATATTTTTAAGTGCATAAAATAAGATACAAAGGAGTATTACAAAGGAAAATAACTACATTGAAATATGGTTAAGAAAATATTTTAAAAGAGGTTCATAGGCCCCAGGTTAAGAATCCCTGGAGTTGATGATCTCTGATGACTCTACCTCTACTGTCCTGTTTTTCTACGAATGCCCACCTTTGTCACTGTTTTGGTCAATCAGTCAATAAGCATTTATTAAATCCCTACTGTGTGCCAGACACTGAGCTAAGTCCTGAAGAAACAAAGAAAGGCAAAACATGGTCCCTGCTCTCAAGGAGCTCACAGTGTCATAGGGAAGATAACATACAAACAAAAATGTACAAATAAGCTATATATAAGATAAAGTGGATATAGCATTAAGAGTGATTGGGAAAGACTTCTCATATAGGATGGGATTTTAGCAGAGAGCAAGTAAGATTGTCACCCTGTATACACCATATACATGTAAACATGTACACTAATTTTCCTTAGACTGATATTCCTAGTTATTTGTAACTCAATAATATAAATAGTATTCTGTAAGTGGTCAATGTGCAATTCAAAAATATAAATGTTGCTATAGTAACTACTAAATGGAAAGATATTCACAGAACAACTGCAGAAAGAAGGAACAATGTATCTTCTTCAGAAACACACAACTTAACTGCATAAAGAAAGACAGCTATGTCCTCCTTGCTTGTTTAGATCAATAGAATTAAGCAAATCATCAAAGTACACATAATGTTCCAAGCAGAGTAATGCAGTAACCCACTGTTGCAGCAAAATATGTCTTGTTAATACTATTTTATATGAAAATATAACTGTGGAAAACGAATACAGTTTTACAAAAAGAAGCTTCGCTGTCTCTTACTAATGATGGCCCACAAATTACACTCACCAAGGCACCATGATATGGTGGAAAGAATACTCAACCAGACCTGTTACATCATAATTAGCTGACAGTTTAAACAAAAAAACCCGTCCACTATCTGAATACCAGTTACTGTGTGAAGTTCTGGATTCTATTTATGACTATCATTACTATCTTTGGACCTTGGACAAGTCACTTGACTACTGTGGGTCTCAGCTTTTTAATTTGAAAAATGAGGAAAGTGAACTAAATGTCTAATTTCTGAGCTCCCTTCTAGCTTTAATGATTCTATGAGTTCTTCATTCTCCCTTGCATACAGTCCCAGAAGAAAAAACGTAAAGGAATGTCGGGCTCCTGGATCTTTGAAGACTCAGTCCATTGCATAAATGTATTATTTAAGTAATGAGAAGAAAAGAGAAGGGAACAAATATTTATATAGCGCCTACTACGTGTGAGGCATACGATAAGCACTTTTTACAAATATAATCTCATTTGATGATGGGAGTCCTAAACAACATTATTGAAATCATGAGAACATAGGCCACAGAATATCAGGCTAATAACACAAAGTTAGGGAGGAGAGGACAGGGAAAACTGAATTTTATACTACCCTCAAGAGCAAAATCCTCTAAGTAACTCTATTTAGTTATATCTTAGAAGACAGATGAATAACTAAATGCAATTAAGATCGTCCAGAGGAAATAGACTGGTTAAGGAAAATTCACATGAAGATTGGCAAAAAAAAAAAAACTGGGATGTTTAATATAAAGAAGACTAGATTTAATAGAAATTTGATAGTTATCTTCAAGTATTTGAATGACATAAAAATGGAAAATTGATTAGATCTCTGCTTGGCACTAGAGGACAGAACTAGAAAAATTGGTAGAAGTTACAAAGTAGAAGACAATTAGAGTTATACAAAAGTGGGATGGAATGCTGTAAGTAATAGTGGGTTCCTCTCTTTGGAAGCTGCCAAGGAGATAATGGATGACTACTTCTCTATGGTGCTGAAGTGGGGATGAAATAAGTTCTGAGGATCTTTCCAAGTCTGAGGTTCTGTGATTCAGGCAGCCAATTAATGTATCTACTATATGCCAGGCCCTGGACTAAGTGCTGGGGATACAAAGAAAGGCAAAAACAGTCCCTGGTCTCAAGGGGCTCAGAGTCTACTGGAGACAACAACATGTAAACAGCTATGTGCAAACAAGCTACACATTGGATAATTTGGGGATAATCAACAGAGAAAAGGCTTGAGAATTAAGAGGGATTGGGAAAAGTTTCATATAGAAGATGGGATATTAGCTGGAATTTAGGGAAACCAGAGGAGCCAAGATATGTAGATCAGGCATGGGGAATAGCCAGTAAAAAGACCTGGAGTCTGGACATGGAGGGTTTTGTTAGAAGAACATAAGAGAGGTCAGTCAGTGTCACTGGATCACAGAATATGTGAAGGGGACTCAGGTATAAAAATACTCAAAAGGTAGGAGGGGACCAGGTTGTAAAGGTCTTTAAAAACCAAAGATGATTTTATATTTGATTTTGGAGGTAATAGGGAACCACTGGAATTTACTGAATAGGAAGAAACATGATCAATCTTGGGTTTTAATAAGATCAAGTTGATAGTTGAGTAGAAGATGGACTACAGAGGGGAGAGATTCAAGGCACGGAAACCAACCAGGAGGTTAGTGAAATAGTCCAGATATGAGGTGGTGAGGGCCTGTGTTAGGCTGGTGGCAATATTAGAAGAGAAAAGATGGTGTAAATGAGAGATGTTATGAAGGTCAAATCTAGAGGACTTGGCAATAGAGTAGATATTGGCCGGAGAGAGTGAAGAATTAAGGAAAACATCTAAGTTTTAAGTCTGGGAAACAGGGAGGATGTTGGTACCCTTAACAATAATCAAGCAGCTCAGAAGTGGGGAGAATTTTGGGGAAAAGATAAGGAATTAAGTTTTGGACATGTTGCATTTAAGGTGACTATGGGATTTGAGAAGTCTCATTGGCAGTTAGACATGAGAGTTTAAATGTTAGGAGAAAAGTTAGGACTGGACAAATAGATCCAAGAATCATCAACACTGAAATGATAACTGAAACCATGTGCTCACCAAGTGAAACAGTATAGAGGGAGAAGAGAAAGGGCCTAGGACACAGCCCTGTGGTACACTCACATTTAAGGGGCATGGATTCATAAAATTTAAAGCTGGAAGAGACCTTAGAAATCACCCAGTCTGCCACATTTTACAGACAAGGAAAGAGAGGTCCACAGAGGTCAAATGACTTGCCCTAGATATGTGAACCATACATGAAAACAGAGTTTCTACATGATGACTTGTCATGCAAACACTCCAGCAAATAAGAAGTAACTCACGAGCACATATACACACAAACATAGATATTATTTAAAGGTAGCATACCTTAGCAACATCCGGATTTTCTGCCACCATATAAGTGAAGCTGATATTCACCAAGTCAGTGCCACTGCAGACACAGACTATCCTCCCTTCCAGATCACTCTCTGATTTTCCAAAAGCTTCAAGAGCTGCTAGGATTTTGGGATCCTATTTCATAAAGAAAACTAATTAGGGCACAGTCCTTAGGGAACAATTAAATTATATCCAACAGTTTTAAATAACAATGTACAATGTGATAAATGTTATGCAGACTTAGCTTAAAGATCTCCAATATGGGTGAACCAATCATTCCCTGAGATTGTTCTTGAAAATGTATATTTTATTTTATTTTTCTACATTTTAATGACCAAAGACTCCACTGACAACCTAATTGATATAAATATGATAAATATTATATGGCAACATTATTGATATTGGAAAGTAGAGGCCAGTATCTTCCTGACTGTTGACAGAGTCTATTTCCTTCCTATGGACATCCAACTGAAATTTACCTATGTCAATATCTTTATACAATTGCAACTGTGAATATAAGTAGTATCACCTAAATGATTCTAGAGTATGCATGTCAATTTTCCAAAACTGATTATCACTGTTAACTCAAGAGAGATTAAAATTTGTCTCATAGCCCAAGAAACAGAATAAGTTTTTCTATGTCTCTAAAAGTTATGGTATCTTCAAGTTAGAATTAAGTAAGGAAATAGAAAGGTTTATTGTTGCTAGAGAAAACTAGAAAAACTAGAAAAGTAAGAGCCCACCCCAATTTACAGAAATACAATAGATTCCCTGAATCTTTTTAAAGGTAAATATGTTTATCAAAATAACTTTTATTCAAACACACCATCCTTGGAAAGTAATTTTATGGTCTCTGTCATTTTCCCCTTAAATAAAAGCAAAGCAACATATTTTAGACTTTAAAGTGAGCTGACATCTTTTAGTATGCAGGTGCACAGACATGGCATTATATAAGCCATTTCAATTTTCATGTCAAATACAGCCAGGGAGTGAATCACTCTTTGCCAAATAAAAAAAAAAAAGGTAAAAAAGCGGGTAAACTGGTTGTCAAATTCATTTTCCAGTTAAAGGACATATATGCTGGATGCTGAACATAAGAAAATTATCAGAAAAATCTTTTAAAGAAGTAAGATAGCTTCATTTAAATAGCAAATACGTTTCTGATATAGCCATGAATAATAATTTTTTTTTCCCATGGTAAATGGCTGATGCATTCTACATAAGCACTATTTGTTTAAAAGAACAGCATAAAACAATCACAGGGTACCTTTGGTACAGGTCCAAAACGAATGCTGTTGATCAGGGAACACTCTAATACCTGTCCTTCCTGCAAGCACAGAGAGATGCAACAATGAGCTTGAGTTCCAATAAAGGGCATTTTTACTAAAATGCACCTAACATCTTAGATAATAGGTATTCAACAAGTGGTTACCAATAATGATGACAGTCCTGATGGTGTTGGACTAATGTGAAGGGAAGAGGTAATAAAAAAAAGAATGAGGATTACATCTTTCATACACCTGAAATAATCAAGAAACACAACTTTCCATTACAAGAGGACATGTGACTGTCAAAGTACAAAGACTTTTATATATTTTAAATTTTGAAATTCAGGACTCAGGTTAAGGGAAGTTAAGTTCCCTTAATTTTTATATATATAAGGCATAATCTTATCTCCTCTTTTCCCTCAGCCTCAGTGGCTCCCTTCTCCCATTAGTGCATTCCTCTTGAAACCTCCATTTTGAGGAAGGGCCCAGACCAGCTACGTTTCATTCTCTAGATTTTGCCACCCTATGTTCACCTTCCACCTCTCCCACTTTGCAGCTGACTTTTATGTATTATCTTCCCTCGTTAAAATCTGATCATCTTGAGGGCAGGTACCATCTTTTTCCTTATATTTATACTCCATAGCTCTTAATATCCTGCTTGACACATATCAGCCAATTACTGCCTTTATTAATCTCTAACTTGAAAGGATTTAAAAACTAGCTGTCACATAAAATGCGGACAATTTGCTGTAGTCTTACTGTACCTTTCCTTCACTTTTCCAGGTCAAAAAGAAGCCAAATTCATCCACTTTGAAGAGGCAGTTAGGTTCAAATACAAAGGATTCCTGTTGAAGAAAAATTTATTATACTTCATGAATTGTCTCACTTTTATTCATAATAAAATACAAATATAATTTAAACCAATAACCCATATTAGGTTACCATAAATATAAAAATAAACCAAAGTTAAAACTAAAACTTAAAATTAAAAGCAAAACTGAATTGTCACCCATCCCTTATTAGAATCAAATATATTTGAAATGAATATGAGCCTTTCCCCCTTTTTACCACAACATGTCTAAGGGGGCATTCCCTATTACCCAGATGCAGGGTACAAAGTTCAATGATGTTACCAAAAGCATAAAGAAAAGCAATTTCCAAACTAGAATGACAGGTTAGTTGCTACTACTTTCTAGGTTTCTTCCTTTTCTTACCTATGGCAGATCTTGGCCTATAAATACATAATGCCAAATCAATCATTTAAAAAATCTGAAACAATGCCAATCATCTCAGTGTTTGTTCTATATGACTTGGTTTCTGGACATACAAATATGCTCAGATGATTGACTGAATTTTCCTCTTTTCAACTGGATCTTGTTTGGAATTAAGAGTCAAAATTTGAATATCTAGGCTCTTGGTCATAAGAGAAGATAGCTGAAAGCAAGAATTTCTTCTAGCTCAAAAGCATCACTGTCCTGGGAGGCTACAGAAAAGTGTCCTGAAAGGAAAAAAAATATTCTCTGGAAATGATATACAGATCATCTGTGCACTGTTTGTACTGCTCTTGACCTGGCAGAAAAATATTCCAACAAATTTACTTTTTTTTGGGGGGGGGGAGTAGCACTCAAAGAATTTTACTGTATTTTTGTATTGCCAGCAATAAGAACCAGGCCAAGAAAATGAGCCTCAAGATAGTAACCTAAAATAAATAAATAGCAATTATAGGAATTAAGACCATCTAAGTCCTTAGTTAACAGCAATAAAAATTGTTCTTACTAAGTCTTAGAGAAATGGCCATTCTTTATCAATTTAAATCCTGCGCCAAGGACTTGTAGTTCCAAAAGTTTAGAGTATTAGTGACTACGTGGCTAAAAGGAAAAACCATTTTCAACACTATATAGACAACTAGCTAAAGACTGGGCCCAAAGAGAAGAGACCCAACTGAAGATAGTGACACTGCATTTCTATGGATTTACTCCTCAGTTAACCATGTGACAGAAAGGATCCTGATAAATGAAGTAGAGCCTTTTGAGTAAATTTCTGCTAATGTACTCGGAGGTCCATAACTATCTGAAACACTGAAATACTTCACACCAGGAAAAAATAAATGAAGCAAGCTGAAATTGTCTGGCAGAGGCAAAAAGAACCAAATTCTTCCAGGGGTCACCTCAATTCAAAGGTAAAAAAACAAAATCTCTGCTTAGCTTCTCTGGTTATATATTAGAGACATTGCTACTACTTCAGACCCCTGAACTCAGACATCCTGAGTAAGTCAACTAGAATGATAAAGGGCCTTGACTCTATGCCATATGAGTTACTGTAGGAACTGGGGACATTTAGCCTGGAAAAAGAAGACTTTGTAGGTGGCAGGGGAAGACAGAAAGGGAACAACATGATAGCTGTCAGTTATTTGAAAGGCTACCTTGTGAAAGATGGGTTAAACATTTTGTATTTGGACACAAAGGGCAGAACTAAAAACAATAGGTGGGAGTTGCAAGGAAGCAGTCTCAGGTTTGATGTTGGAAAATTTTTATCAACATGAGAGTTACACATAAGTGGAATGGACTTCCTTAGGTCTCTCCTCACTGAAAGTCTTTAAGCAAAGGCTATATGACCAGAGGCAGCAAATGAGCACTGATTAAGCCCCTGTTCTGTGCTAAGCACAGAGGATAAAAATCCTAACAATAACTAACATTTGTATATCATATACTGTGTAACCAGGTACTATGCTAAGCGCTTCACAATTATTACCTCTTTTAGTCAAAACAACTCTGAGAGCTAGGTACTGACATATTCATTTTTCAGATGAGGAAACAGGAGAACAGAGGTTAAGTGACTTGCCCTGGGTCACACAGCTCCTAAATGTCTAAGGCTGAATTTTAATTCAGATCTTTCTGATTCCAGGAACTGGGTCACCTAGCTGACTTAAAGACAAAAGACAGTCTTTGCTCTCAAGGAGCTCACAGTTTAATGGGAAACACAACATGCAAACAATTATATGTGATCAAGCCTTATATAGGATAATCTATACTCTATACGGAACATAATTAACAAAATGCACTAGAAACAAAGGGGCTTAGGAAAGGCTTCCTGGAAAAGGAGGGGAAGAGTGATGCAAAATATAAAAAAACTGGAAAGGGGGAGAGGAGTTAGGGGTGGAGATTACCAAGGGCTTTGAATGCCAAACAGAGAATTGTACATTTGATCCTGTGGACAATAAGGAGCTTCATAGACCAAAAGTAAGAAGAGATTGTAGAGGCCATCTAACCAAATTCTCTCATTTTAGAGATGAAATTTACAGAGGTAAAGTAACTTGTCCAAGGTAGTACATGCAGTAAGTAGCACAAAAGGAAGGAATCCTTTCTCTGCTAGAGATTAGTTTATTGTACAGTGAATAAGTAATATTGGAATAATATTTGAAATTGTTGTTTGAGGTTGTAAATTCAAACTCATCCTACTAAATGACACTATTTATCCAGATATGCTATTTTTGATCAGGAAGAGACCTTAGAGATCATCTAGCCAGTGGTTTCTTTATACAGGTAGGTAGGTGGTATAATAGCTGGGTCCGAAGTTAGGAAGACTCATCTTCCTGAATTCAAATCTGGCCTCAGACACTTACTAGCTGTGTGACCCTAGGCAAGTCACTTGACCCTGTTTGCCTCAATTTTCTCATCAGCACAATAAGCTGAAAAAAGGAAATGGCAAACCACTCTAGTATCTTTGCCACGAAAACCCCAAATGGGTTCATGAAGTTTTGAACATGACCGAACAACAACTCAATCATACAATGTAAACTCCTTGAGAGTAAGGACTGTCTCCTTTTGTCTGACTCTAGAGCAATAACATTAACATACAGTAATAGAAAATAAATATTGGTTGAAATCAATGTGATAGGGATAGAACTTCAAAGTCACAAAGCCCAAAGTGTTAAAAAACTTACTTATGCTATATAAATAATAGAAACTCTTCCCTCAACAATTACCTATCATGGGAACTAAAATACTGATTTTAGCAGTGAGTAAAAGAACAGGAAAACATGACTTTGGTATGAAATTTCAAAACTACTAACCCAGCTTAATTTATTCTTATTCCAGAAAAGTAATAAAAACTCCTTCATCCTCACATCCTCCCAGTGGCTCTTACTGGAACAATTTATGAGAACTACCACAAAGCAATCAGAGTAAAACATGAAACTAGGCAAAATATTTTTGCTTTCTTATATCTGGTTTTGTTAATAAACCTGATAATAATAATTGTTATCCCCAAATAAATAATAATAATAATAATAATAATAATAATAAATAATAAACTTGGGCCACCTGGCTATGCTCAGAAAAGTTTTCAAGCTTATATATAAACTTTGCTGTCCTCAGTTTCCAGCTGTGGAGTCAGAACTTGGTTCATTCAACTCTCCTTTGCTTTTGGGATGGCTTGGGGGAAGGGACAGGGGGTGAGGAGGGACAACAGAGTATACATCTAAGAAATGCCATTTCTAAGTTGGGCACTTGCTACTTGTGAATACTTTTTGATTCTTCTCTTTTGTGGGAGAATGTTAAGGTTTGGCCTTCAGTGTTGCCAATAAGTTTCTGAATGTCTGCCCAGAATCCTTTGTGGATGGTTCTTGTTTTCAATGTTGACTGAGTAAAAACATTTGACCTGAAAGTTTGGGAATAAGGCTGGAGGAGGACACACTGGAATTAATGAGAACAGAAACAGTCATTGTATTCCTGCAAGTCTTCAATCATTTCAGCTTGATTTATATGACTAAGTCTATGTTTCAATGTTAATTATTTTGATTTTCTCATAATACAAGGCTCTGTGTGTGCGTATGTGTGTGTGTGTGTGTGTGTGTGTGTGTGTGTGTGTGTGTGTGTGTGAGAGAGAGAGAGAGAGAGAGAGAGAGAGAGAGAGAGAGAGAGAGAGAGAGAGAGAGAGAGAGGTAAATAAGCATTTCTAACGTGGGTATACTGAGAGGGCACTCATGTTGTAAGACAGGACTCTTATTAAAGGCTCCCTGACACATGCCAGAGCACTCCAAGAAATGACTCCCAAGGTATTCAGCAGTTATACATTCAGGCAGGCAGGAGGAAAGAAGTCAGCAAAACATATCTTTAAGAGAGGGAGTGGGTGGCCAGTCACAAGATACAAACTTGGACAAGCTAAACCAGTCACATTATTTAAAAAGTAAACCATTTCTCCTTTAGAAGTTAAGATAAGGAAAGAATACATAAGAATTTCTCTCTTTGAAGAGCTAGGGATAGTTCTGCTATACAAAGCAAATACACAGATTTTATTGGTAATAGTCAGTTTTTCCCCCTACCAAGAAACAAACCACACAAACAAGTCTTTGTAAGGGGCAGAAGAGATTCATAGGCCTCTGAGATAATGACTGCACACTAGTGAAAAATAGCCTTTTTATTAAAAAAAAAAGTTTTAAACCAGATTCTTAGATGACAGTCTCATGGGCACACTATATATGAAACATTCTGTTTCCAAAGAGAAGAGAAGCAAAGAGAATGTAAAACAAGTATTTGTTGAATTGAATGGATATTTAAATTGAAAACATAATAAAAATAATAGCCATTAGTAGATGACATGCATATACTTAAATGTTTGCAAAGCATTACATGTGTACTGCATTACACGTGAGTCTACATATTGTATATATACATATATGAATATAACACAATATATTATAAAGCATGCATAGTATAATATACATGCATGTAGAGATACAAATACATATATATATAATTGTGTATGAGTATATCTGTAGGCATGTATACATGCATATAACATGCATATTTGTGTGCATATGTATGTTTGCACACGTGTGCTTTGT